ACTTACATGTATACCTACAAATCTGTAGGCTAATGATTATTTCAAAATTTGTTTATACAAATATTCACAATTTAAATTTTACATACTTTCATCAAAATTAGATAAAATCATACATGTGTATAATGCTTCTTTCATCTAATATTTCAAAAGCAAACAAAAAAAATTATAAAATAATCACAGCTTAATGCAAATTCATTCACAACTTAATACAATCAATTCATAATTTAATACACAAAATTCACAAGTTAATATAGCCAATTTACGGTCTAAGAATAAAATTCACAGTTTAAAACACAAAAATCATAGCTTAATACACAAAATTCACATTTTAATACACAAAAGTATGCATCCACAACCATATTATCAACTTAACACTTTTAATATAGTCAATTCATAGTTTAATACACAAAATTCATAGTTTAATACAAATAACTTCATAGTTTAATACACAATTCATGGCTTAATTTTGTCGATTTACAGTTCAAACAGAAAATTCACAACTTAATACAGTCAATTAGTAGTTTAAAAAAAAAATTCAGAACTTAATGCAGTCAATTCACAATTTAAAACACAAAAATCACAACTTAGTACACTAAATTTCACATTTTAATACATAAAAAGTAGTATTCAGATCCATATTATCAACTTAAAACTCTTATTACAGTTAATACACAATTTAATACATAAAATTCACAGACTAGTACAATAAATTCAAAGTTTAATTCAAAAAAATTATACATTTACAACTTAATAGCAGCTAAAACTAAGATTAACAAAATTATATGACAAATGAGAGATTAAAATATCAAATTCACACTTTAACAGAAAGAAAAAAAAATCTATATCATAGAGATCTACAACAGATGTAAGTAGAAAAACAAGTAGAAAACAAAGCTTAAAGAAGATTTATCTATAAAAATCGACATACCTGATTTTGATCAAAATTTTATCTTCAAAAATCATATCTGATGCAAGCCACCATGAATGCACCAGATACACCAGATCCATACATGAAATTCATCGTACACATCAGATCTATGCATATCTGGTGTTAGGTAGAAAATCTAGTGTTCAAAACTTCGTCAATCTTGAGATCTGGTGCGCTGATCGTATGAGAAAGAAAGATGGTTCATCGGTGATGGTTAGTTAGATCTAATCTGAAAATGAAAAAAACACATGAGATCTGATGCAAATCTGGTGGTTCTCCGGAGATCAGAGATAAAACGAGTTGGATGCGGTTGTAAATCCGGTGGAGTGGAGGCGGAGGATGACGAAGGATGTAGCGGCGGTAGTCGTTGACGACAAATCTGAAGGTTTCCGGTAAAGATCCGACTAGATCTGATCTGAATAGATCTGACGAACTAGTGCTTTGTTGGTGGTGGCCTTCGGCGATGGAGCTTTTCACTCTAGAGATCAGTGGCGATGGACGGTGGATTTGAATCGAAAACATTGGGTACTCGACATTCCGGCAATGGAAGGTGGTAGATGACGACGACAAGTGTCAGAGGTAGGTGGCTGAGGTGGTGTTGGGTTTTCTGTTGTTGGGAGAGTTTGAGAGGGTTTGAGAAGGTTTTCTTGCAAAAGTTTGAAAGTGTTTGAATGTTGTTAGATGTAATATATTTTATGTTAAAGTTAAAAATGACTAGTATGCCCTTATTGATTTTTGGCTATTTATAAAAACATAAAAAAATCAAAATATTAGAATAGATCAAAATAAGCTAAAAATAAGTGGTTCTTACGGTTCTTAACCTTTAGGGGTTCTCATTTGATCTTCTCTCTCTCTCTCTCTCTCTCTCTCTCTATATATATATATATATATATATATATATATATATATATATATATATATATATATATATATATATATACTAGGTTACAACCCGTGGAAACCACGGGTAAAAAATTTAAAAACAAATTTATATTATTAATAAGAGTTAAGTTTGTTTAGCATTATTTTTATTGATTATTTAAAATTAATATTAATATAAATTTGTAAAAAAATATATAAATTTGAATATATGTTAAAGAGAAACGCAATCAATCCATCGAAAGTTGAATATGAAGATAACTAAAATGCATCTTTGAATATGTGAATGATTTATGAAGTGTGAGGGCAAATCATTATTTTTTGTAACGAGGGAGCAATCAAGAAACACCATGTGGCATCTATTAAAGTCTGAAAATCAAATATGGAAACAAATTCAATATTATGGATTACAATGCTATATAAATAATAAAATATTAAAAAAATGTTATAAAAAAAAAAACACAATTGTTAGAAGTTAATGGGTACGAAGCATTTATAGATATTCCTATTCTAATAAATGAATAGTGTTAATATCTTTTTGTCAGGTGTCACTCTAATACAACTCCTCATTAATATTATGGCATGTGTAATGTAGATATATTAGGCAACTCATTAATATATTAGGCAACTCATTTCAAATTCAAATTTATATTTTCTAATTATATGTTAAATTTGAAATTATAATAACTTTAAAAAGTTGATATATCTTTTAATTAATAATTTATTTAAATGACTTATTTAAAATAACTGATTAATAATTATAAATTTTTATTATAAAAGTTTAATTAATTTTATAACTGTGGTTCCCACGGGTTATAAACTAGTGTTGTCATAAAGTTATAATTAATTCAAAAAGTGATATTGATCATTTAATGCTTTTAAATCGAAGCCTATAAACTGACGATTTCATCTATCTATAAGCTGTTCAAAAAAAAAGAAGTGACCACCCAACCAAATAAATCAAATACAAACATTAAAATAAATGAGTTTTTCTCGTTAACGTTTGTTTCTTTAATAAACATTTATAGTCGAACATTCAAAATTAATTTTGAAATTTGATTGTAATTTACAGTGACATTTTAATATTGTGATCGTGTCGAAAAGTTTTAAACTTAAACTTTTAGAAGTTTCATTTTTAATCTCGCTGGGTTTATAATAATATACATATCATTAATAACACAACCGTTTTTATTTTTCTGATTTATTTAAAGTAATTTCGACTTATAATACCTGAAATAGTGGTATGTGTTTTAAACAGGTACAACTGTATCAAAAAAACCTAAGAGATTGCAGAGGTTCATGGGATTACATCTTAGTGGTATGTGCTTTAATGGTAAACACATTTTTCTTCTTTTAGGGTGGATTTATTACATCACATTGAATCCCGTGGCGAGGACATTTTCGTCCTTTGCATATATAATTTTTGTTTCCGGTACTGTTTTGTACTTTGTAGTGCTTAAGAAACGGGAAGATATGATTAAGTTGTGAATGATCCGGACCCATATCAATGATCGGGTACCATTCTACCATTTGTAACAGAAAGACACATAAAGTCACAAACTATATACCCCTGTTGTGAAAATTACCAATATGTCACTGTACAAAAAATGAGCATTATTTTGAACAGGTTGTTCTAATTACCATTCTACCATTTGTAACTGGACAATGATTAATTAACATCTGATGCATTGTTTCCTCCTCTTGTGTGTTTAATATTATAACAATCAATAAACACTTTTACTGGAATTTAAATAATTGAAATTATAGAGCTGAACAAAAGGATTGACAAAGGGCAAAATTGACATCTGATGCATTGTTTCCTCCTGTTGCGTGTTCAATATTATGACAAATCTCATCTCACAGCTTCATTACAATTTTCGTTTCATACATTACCTCAAATCATAGAAAAAAATATTCCCAAGAATGCATGCACCGATTTCATACCCATAAAATATACCATTTTATTGAATTTATTCATATTTGATACATCTTTTTTATAGAGCAAATATACTTATAACACGAAAATGAAAAGTAGAATGATATATTTTGTAATTTTTTTGAATTTTATTGCAAATATATTGGTAATAAAAATCTTTAAAAACATAATGGTTTCCTTCTTTTACACTATCAATAGACACATATATATTAAAAGAAGATTAATCTAATTACAGCCATAACCCAAAAAGCAGTTTTTACTTAAGATAGAGATTAGCAACGAAAAGAAACCAAGAACTATCAATGTTTGAATACTAAACACCACGAAGAGCAAAACTGCCAAACAGAATCGCAAAAAAAAATTAAAAAAAAAAAAAATTCAAGAATAGTGTTGGTGCATAAAAAGGACAATCTGAAATCACTTTTCAAGCTTTGGTATTAATAGACCTGTGTTTCCATCCACCATGGAATTCAAGCGAGGTACTTTTGTCGACGAATTCACATTATCATACTCATCAACATCATTGGTATCTCCAACGTTTCGTTTTTTTTACCATTGTGAGCGAATTAAACTTGAACGGACTTGTAGCTTCTGATTTGTCATGCATGGAAGGGGTCAAATTATCACCGGTCTGTGAGATCGCGTCCTTAAAGCAAAAACCCGAAACAGCTTTAGTACGATAATATTAACAAAAAATAATTTATAAAAGGACTTTATATAAAATTAAATAATGTAGGTTTATATTATAACCTTTAACGACTTTGTTTCGTGAGATGCGATTTCTGTATCATCAACATTTGCAGAATTACCTGCCTGCTTTAGAAGTTTAAATATGTATTATCATTTGTGGGATTAAATTTTTGTTCCATCAAGATTTACAATTAATTAGTGAAGATCATTAAATAAAAGTATGCATCATAATAATTAATTAATTTTTAAAAAACATAAAAATATATGTATATAAATACCTCAACAGCTAACTTTTTTTCCAAAGCATTGATAATGTTACTATCAAGTGTATAGCCAAGTATCCCAAACCGATTGTAGTTATTGGATACGTTAAAACTATTAACATCTAACACGAATGCCATCTTTTTATGCACCAGACAGTTGAGGTCATAAGGATACAAACTCGGATTATCCCCAGCCTGGAAAGAATGAGTTATGTAATATTGTTATGGTTAAAAGCACATTAATATAGACAAAATCAAATAGATAATAGAATTTAATAAAACAAATAATATATTTATAGTATACCTATTTGATTTTCTCTATGAGATCACTTGCACGTTTTTTGACGAGTTTATAAGCATCTCTATCAAACATAGTTAGTGTGATTGTTCCAGAATCATCTAGGACACGAATACGTATTTTATACCTACACAAATATCCGACATAAATATATATTAAATATGTTTAATGTGTAATGTTTATTAATGTATTTAATTTGTCCGGGTGAACTTTTGTTAAATTTTAAAAACCTTGGAACTGGAGATATCTCCTTATTTTTACACTTAGGATTATAGCATTCAACAACCACACTTGCATCACCACTATCTGGACCGCTGAACACGTTTCTTGGTTCAACTTTCCTTCCACAGTTTGAACACGCATCATAATACCAATCAATATCTTGTCGGATACCATAAATGGTACCAACAATGATATATTTCCCGACCTAAAAAAATATAAAATACAAAAAGAATAATCAAAAAACAATACAATTATAATAAACGAATAATAGAAAACAAAATCACATTAAAAAAACTAAATTATTCACATACCTCTTGTGGTTCTAGCAAATCGACAACATTTTTAACATTGTGATTTGTCAAAAAAGTCATCATATTCATTGTATGGTTGAGAGCTATCAACAGTCAAAGAAGAAGAAGGATTTTGAAGTCCTCGTAATCCAACCAACTGTTTTTTTATTTGGTAGATTAATTATGAAATTAGTAAAATTATTAAAAAGAAACAAAAAAACAATGAATTATTAAAATAGATTGTTACCTATCTGTGAATGTAACAATTTCGGGAAGATCAACATTTATGAACATCCGTGTGTGTTCAAAATAACTGTTAACGGAAGGTATTCCTGGTTAAAAAAATTAAAATGGTCAAAATAATGAGCAATATAAAAGCCTAAAATAAGGAAGGTTGCCTTTTATAAGAAATGTACCGTTATAGACATTAAGTCTTGCAAACTGCAAAATAACAACCACACGACCAACTTGTTTATGAGCTTCAAGATAAGAAATCAATTGGTATGCAATATCTCCAAACAATGTGACGTTAACCTGCAAACCTCTGCAAAAACAGTACTGGTTAAATGCTTATGCTTATATAATAATAAAATAACATGTGGCAGTTGTAACCTAATGAATTTAATATATTATAATAATAATAATAATAATAATATAAGATATAATATAAGAAAAGTTTACTCTAAGTTTCTGATTTGTAAAGTTAGCCTATGTTTGGATTTGCTGACATCACGGGAATCAAACTTTCCTAATGAAACAACTTCACCAATAACATCTACAAAATGATAATACAATATGTCAAAATGATGTAAAATTAAAGAATTAAATATAAAATGCAATTAAATAGGGGGAAAATTACCAATTGAGTTATTAGATGTAGCTGTTGCAGAAATAATGCTTTCAAACGATACACAAGAAAAGTCATATGTTGTTTTGGATTGAAAAGTTAGACACTCATGAACAGTTGTTCGTCCATGCAAGTTTAACTTGGAGATTACATCACTTATTTTAAAAGTGTATCTGTTTGGAGCTATAGTGGGGGATCGGATGTAAAAAGCTTGATCTTCTTTCAGTTTGGACTCAAACCTTTGGAAATCTCTTGGGTAGACACTTGCTCGGATTTTTGTACCCTATTCACATATCGTAAGAATATTATATATATTGCGAAACAATTGTATATTAATTTATATAAATTGGTCAACATTGAATCAGTTATTCGACCTTGAATGATTTTGAATAATATTATTGGAATGAGCAAATAAACAAAAAAATGATTTTGAATAATGTAATTGGAATAGGATATTTTACCATCTCATCCATTAATATCATTTCAAGTGATTTGACAATAGTGGGGTTAACTTCGGATAATGATCTCCACAGCCGGATGATACACACTTTTAGTGTGTAATCATCCCTCATATTGTCTAAGTCTTTGATCAAAGTGACATTTCTATCTGCCATTGTCACTATAACAGAAAGACATAAAATATTAAGGAAAAATAATGGAACAAAATTACACACAGAAAATATAAAGACAAACATAATTACAATTATGTCCCTGGAGTAGTAGGCGGATAAAAAGATTCTGAATAATACAATAAAGTATATTAAAACATTCAAACAAATAAAACAAAACAGAAAGACACATAAAGTCACAAACTATATACCCCTACTGTGAAAATTACCAATATGTCCCTGTACAAAAAATGAGCATTAGCTTGAACAGGTTGTTCTAATTACCATTCTACCCTTTGTAACTGGAGACTGATTAATTAACATCTTAATTGTTGTAAACCAACCATAACACGGTCTGTGGTTCAAATTACTACAAAACAATTCAAGCAGAAACTGAGAAACACGAATACACATTGGTAATTTAAGTAGCATCAGTTAAATTGTCACACACAAGCATACACATTAAGTAGCAGAAAAAAATATTCTAAATAATAATACAATACAGAAGGGGTAAAATCGGTAATTAGCAAAGTCGAATTTGGTGGATTGAATTGCAGAGATTGTCTAAAATCGGTAATCAAAATGGAGAGTCGCTGATCAAAATGGAGAAAAAGATTCTAATTAACATTCTACCCTTTAGTCCTATGGATTGATTAACATATTAATTCGTGATTAACATATTAATTCGTGTGGATTGAATTGCAAAGATTCTAATTACCATTATACCCTTTAGTTCTATGGATTGATTAACATATTAATTCGAATTTGGTGGCTTGAATTGCAGAGTCGCTGATCAAAATGGAGAAATTAAGAGGTCACATGTACAAATGGTTTTGAGAATCTTTTTATATGTTTACAGAACATTAGAAGCATAAACTGACATTCATCATTCTGTAGGAAACAGGAGCTTACAAATACACATTGAGAAGCAGAATTGAGAAGCAGAAACTTACCGAAGGATTGAAGTCGATGATGCTTAATTGTTGGAAAGACGATGCTGTAAAGAATGATTCATATCGTATGTTTCAAGTATATATTGAGGCTAATACGATCAAATCGACATAATAATCAAAATTAAATGTAATCGATATGATTGATATGGATACCATAATAAGATGCACTTAATCGGGCATGTAACGAAATTGAGTTAATATGTACAGCTGTTATGAGCAATAAGAATTGAAAGAAAGACAGAGTGTTATATGGATTCCATATTCCATTCGATATCATTCGATATCCTTCCATATTCCGTACTCCAAATTCAAAATTTCCATATTTCCATTTGCATATCTAATCTAATCTAATCTAATTGTAATTGTAATTCTAATTTCTAATTTCTAATTTCTAATTTCTAATTCTAATGATACGTGAAAAGAAAAAGGGGTAAAACCGGAATTTAACATTTGCAGAATACTGAATTTTTGAGAGGACACGAGTACATTATGGTTTTGTTTATTAGACAGGGATATATATATATATATATATATATATATATATATATATATATATATATATATATATATATATATAGGATCAAATAAGAACACCTAAAAAGTTGAGAACGCGAGAACAGATCTGGACCATCTAATTCTTAAGATGTGTGGCTATAATTAATTGTTATTTTTCTAATTATTAATATTTAAATTTTAATTTTTAAATTAAAGAAAATTATAAAGGCTATTAAGGTAAATAAGCATTACCCTAATTTGGTAAACTCCTATAATTACTCTGTGTTACTCTATTTTGTTGACATAATCTCAAAGAACATTCAATCCACATTATCATCTCACCGCCTCATCTCATAGAACGTATCAGAAGCCGACCAAGAACATAGAGCCGGAGGAGGCCATAAAATCAGCGAAAGAGCACTTACAACTCGATTTTAGTTCATTAGTTTTCATTGGGGATTCTAGACTAGCGAATCGATTTCAATTTGGAAGGTATGGTCTCGATTTTGCTTGAATGTTGCTGTGAAGATAAAGGCTGATGATGGAGGCTATGTCGATGGTGGTTTCCTGGTTATGAAGGGTCGGCATGTCATGATGATAATGACGGGTACGATTAGGGCTTCCTTTATCTTTCCTTTATCTTTCATTTATTCATAATCGATTCATTGATATCTCACGTTTATTCGATACAACACCATACCTTCTATTTTCTCTTCACGTGATTGCTTCCATTTTAACCGGTCTCAAATTCAATCTCTTTTTGATCTCTATCTCTTTCACTTTAAAGCCCTAACTGTTGGATCTACTCAGCCTTTGGATGTCATTTTTCTCATCATCTTTTTAACAGGTACATATAGAGAAATGAAAAAGAAGAGCTTATGATGAATTGCAACAATTTCATTCTAGAGGTTGGCTCAGGTGGGCTCCCGTCCGAGAACATACACGTTTTTTTTGGCCGGGAGGCACTTCAATCAGAGACAAAACAAGGTAATTTTACTTTTGACTCCTTTTTTTACTAACATCTGTTTAGGCACATGGTTTAATGTCTTATTAGCTCAAGCAATCTGACTTGCAAGTTTTTTGTGTTAAATTGAAATCTATCTATCCAATTATTATTGTCCAAAATTTGGACAACAAGGGTATTGTTGTCCAAAAATTGTAATATCTTTTCTGTAATTCTGATTATCAGTTGATCATGTTTTCGTTAAATCTGTTCTTGCAAATAACCTGTGAGTATGGATGAATTTTTTATGCAATCTGATAGCAGGCCAACCTTCCTCATGGGAAATTCTTTGAATTTTTCTGTTATGTTTGAATGCTCGACAAAGGTAAACAATATTGTCAATATCCAATGCTTTATTGCTAATCAGAGAGATGCGAGAGAAAGTTTTGAACTGACTATGAAGGTTCTGAGAGTTCTTCCATATGGGTTTTGTGGAGGTCCTTTGGATTTTTTTGAGAAGATGAAAGGTGAAGAATTTGAGCTAGAGGAGAATGAAAAATTGTATTATGTTCTATATTTTTTTTAGATGTATGTTATATTATATTTTGATGAATTCATTTATGTTAGAATGTGTATTTATTTATGAATAGCAGTGTATTCATTTTTGAATAGCAGTGCATTCATGTGTGAATGAATATATTTATTTATGATTAGAGGTATTCATATATTCATTTCTAAATAAGAGGGCACTTATTTGTTAATAACAGTGTATTCATTTGTGAATAACAGTGTAATCATGTGTTAATTAGTGTATTTTTTATGATTAGATGTATTCTTTTATGAAGGAAATGATAATTTGTACACTCTTTTATTTTCAGTTGATTGAAAAAAGGAATTGAATTACTTGTAAATTGATGTGTATTCATTTGTGATTGAAGTAGTATCAGGTTTTTTGGAAAAAAAAATTATTTATGAATACAAATGTATTAATTTGGGGTTCGATTTCTATTCATTTTTTTGAACGCTAAAAAAACGTGAAATAGGAGAAAAAAAATTGATTTTTT